GGGGATGAGGAGGGGAATGAGGAGGGGGGTGGGGATGAGGAAGAGGGATGGGGTGAGGAGGGGTGGCAGAGGATGCTGGGGAGTTGGGGTGAGGGTCTAGAGGTGGGGAGGTTTTTCTGGAGAGCTGCTACAGGGTCTGATTGACATAAGTCTGCTTTGTATGACGAGGAGGCAAGCGGAGGCCACAGAAGGAGGCCAACACCGATGGGAGCCTCAGTGTGGAGGCTCCCACTCATAGCTTTGGAGTCTGTAGTTCAGCAGATCTCCTCCCCAGCCCAGCAGAGGGAGGAGGGGAGAGTGGGCCTCGCGAGGTGCCCAGGGTGGGGCTGCTGGGTGGCGCGCAGCCTCACCTGCAGTGGATGAAGTCTGGCACGGGGTTGTGCTGGCTGAAGGAGGCCGCATCCAGGTTCATGCAGATCTCCACGTTGTCCCCGGCCATGATCCGCACGGCAGCTTTATTCTCATCCTCAAAGATCTGCCGCTGCAGGGAGGCGCACAGGAGCAGCATGAAGTCGTCTGCAGGACAACGGCGACACTGGCACCTGCTCTCTTCTGGGCTCCCTCGGGCAGCACAGTCACCCCCGAGTGAGCTGAGCCCCAAAGTGCTCAGTAAAAGCCATCCTGGACCCCAAAGCCAGGCCAAGGGCATCCGCAGCATGGGGAGCTGTGCAAGGGCAGGTCCATAGGGCTCCCCAGGGGGTATGGGTTTCGCCTGCATGGTGGGCAGTGAGGGTGCTGGGCTAGGGAGTGTCCTTCCTGGCCTGGGTCTCTGCCCATGTCCAGGCAGCTGGAGCTGTTGCCCTGCTGACCTCCTCACCTGTTGTGGGTGCAGACATCCTGTTCTATTTGACCTTGTCCTCTCTCTGCATTTGTAACCCAAGGCCATTCCCAGCCAGGCACCAGAGAGAGGGGGAAGGCAGAGAGCGTGTGGGCAGAGGGGTTGTGAGCCTGGCAGGCTGCAGCCCTGCTGAGCCCCTCATTTTAAACCTGAGTATGTGGGGGCAGCTGCCACTCCGGAGGCACTCCCTGCCATCCTGGGTGGCGCGGCATCTCTAGCCCTGGGCTCACCAGCCCATGAGATGGCCCTGACAAGGTACCCAGTGACCCCAAGTCTGGGAGGTAGGTATCCTCATCGTCACAGCCCTGCTCCATTTGGGTCTGTCTGTGGTGGCAGCTGGGAACCCTTCCCGGCCACAGGCTCCCTCCCTGATCTGTCTTGTGAAAGGCGGGCGTGCAGGTGTGTGAGGGTGTCTGGGGGTGAGAGGACTCGAGTGAACACAGAACCTCCAATGTTGACTTGTTAATTCTGCAAACGCAACAGAGCAAGGAAGAGCCATTCCTGACTGGTGATAGGGTTATAAGGTCCAGCGGAAGACCAGCGGTCCTGGGGCACCCTGAGAGGACTGAGGAGCCAATGTAAACCCAGCTGCTGATGTCTCAGGGCCCTGTGGCATAAGCACTCACAGACGAGAAACACTGGGTTGGGCCGCACGATGAAATCCGGGAAGTACAGCCACTTGATGATGTTGTCGTTGAAGTCGGCGCCCTTGAACCTCCATGGGTAATCTGCAGGGAGGGCCACAGGCAGAATCAGTCTCTTGCACTGGTCTACGGAGTGCCCTTGGGCGAAGCCGCCTGGGGAGTGCCCTCACCTCGGCAGGGGGCAGGCGGGATGCCAATGCAGATGAAGTACTGGAAGGTGATGATGCAGGCCAGGAAGCAGCAGTACTTGGGCCAGACCTCCGCGATGGCCTTTCTTCTGCGTCGGTACAGGACAGCAATGAGCCAGCAGGCGTGAATCATGGCGTAGAAATCCATTCGCTGGCCGATCACGTTCACTGACATTAGGAAACAGGTCTGCGTAAGGGTGACAAGAGGTGAAAACACATGGGGTTTGCAGGGAAGGGGAGCACATCAGGAGCCACACCTGCACAGCCTGGATGGCCCCGCATGGGTCCCCGCGTCTTGCTCTTTTGAAAGCCTTTTAGACTGAAGGCAGATCCACAGGTTACCTCCAAAGGAGCACCTGACTGAGTCACTGTCATGAGACCCACTTCAAACTGGAGAGGACGCAGGCAGGCAGCGGTAATGACTTCATGATACAGCACCCCTGCAAATTCATCCTATTAAATAAAGGGCAGGAACTACCAGCACAACTTCAGGTTAAAACAGCTCCCTGGAGCTGCAGCTTATACGCTGAATGCTCGAAAGCAAAGATGGTTGGGAATATTTTACTCTTTAAAAGTAACTAATGTGAGGGCTAGACTGTGACTTAAGGGTGGAGCCCTTGCCCAGAACATACAGGTCCTGGGTTCCAACCCCAGCACAAAGCTGGCGGGAGAAGAACGAATAAGACAACGGATGTTCATGCACCCAGATGGCTCTTGAGATCCCGAGAGGCCAAGTGCCTGGCTGCAGAGTAAGGGGCATTGGTCCCCAGACTTGGAAAATGCCACTGCATTAATTGCTATTAATGGACTCTCTATGGACCCCGAGGAGTCAGTCTGCATGGGCTGGAGTGCAGAATAGCCCCAGTGGCCAACTGGCCTGAGGTAACTATTTATATGTTTGTGTAAAAAGAAATAAAACACATTGGCAAGAAAACTCACCTCCAGGCCAAACTTGTAGAAGAAGTAGTTTATGAAATATTTGGCACAGTTAATAAGTCCATCATCCAGATGCATTCTTGTGATGTCATGAAAGATAGTTTTGGACACAGGGGCAGTAAGGTTGTTTCGACCCCGATAGTACTCCTGATGGCGGTAAATGGTAACTTCGAAGGCCAGAATGGCCAACATCAGGAGGTTATTCTAGGAAGAATAAGCAAGAACATACAGCTGTGTTTGCCAAGGGCTTTATGAGTTTCAGCTTGAGCCATTCCTATAATATCACAGCTCTTGATTCTTAATGTCTAAAGCACAGTGTTTTACAAAACCCCACCTTTATGACTCCTACTGCACTCAAGGTTCATTCTGTCGTCTTATTTACTATGGTGTTGTCTCCATTGTGGAAATGGGGCTAATCTCCATGGCAATAGGACTCAGAATCTCTGGATGTGGCGGGCTGTGCTCCTGGTCCTGGAAAAGTACTCCACACCAGGGGTACCTGGCCCCGGGGGTTGCTGGCAACCAGAGGGGCCAACGGTGCAGACACATCCTGGGAAACACACTGCTCCAGCCACAGGGGACACCTTTACCACCTCTGACGTCTGGCCGGAGTGGGCAGTGAGTTGAGAAGCATGCTCACAATGGAGCAGTAGTGTGAAAACAACAGGAGTGGTGAGAGGAGCCCACGTGGGTCCCCACACTGCTCTAACCACCCTTTTCAAGTATTGATTTGTCTTATCCCTTTCACAGCCACTGGGGGCTGAGACCATTCCCAAAGGTATCTACTGTATTAGGAAAACTTGCAGCTACTCACAGAAGACAGAGGTCTAGGGCCTTTGAGGTCCAGACATGGAGCAGAAAGGTCTTACTTCTAAGGGCCCTGTCCATGCAGCACAGACAGGACTGCTTACATTATCCACCAAGGTAAAATGTGAAGCATGGAAGGTATAATGTTTTCATCTCTTTGCAACTGAAGTTCTTTTTTTGCAAAGGTAATGCTTTATTCCTTCTAAATGTAGTAAATGGTCTTTATTAAAAATTACAGGGAAACATCTGGGAATGGTGGCACATGCCTATAATCAATCACAGTGGCTTGGGAGACTGAAGAAGGAGGATCAAAAGTTCAAAGTCAGCCTCAGCAACTGAGTGAGACCCAGTCTCAAAAATAAAAAGGTCTAGGGATATGGCACAGAGGTTAAGCACCCTAGGTTCAATTCCTGGTAAATAATAATTATTATAAGGAGAAACATAATTTAGACAGCAAAAGTTTCTTGTAAAATAACATCTCCTTCTCAGAAATTCTCACTATTGACAATTTGATATATTTTATCCCATATTTTTCTTTGCGCAGTGTTTTAAGACTTGCTTTTTAAAAATTGGACAATGTATTTTGGACATGTTTCAGTTCTGAGAACCTAGTGACCTTGCTCTTGGAATGTGACAAGGCACTTGGTGAATGTACGTGGCACACTGTATTCAGTCAAGCTCAGACTGCTGGCCAGCTTCTCTTTGGTGCAATAATGATCTGTCACAGGAATTTGTTGCAAGCATGATTCCAAATGCCACATGAGAAGAGGAGGTTATATCTAATGGAATACTAACGGTCTCAAGGGGAAGGATTCCAAACTGTGCTGAGCTCTAAGTAGGAACAAAAGTGCCCTTACCCTCAGGTAGACAAGCAAGGGAGAAGACTTCCTCAGGCCAACCCACTCAGTGGGGTCAATAGGCGCACTGTAGAGGAGGGACTTGTTCAGGTCCTGCAGGGGTATGTTGGTTTGGTTTTCATTGGGCTGAAAAGAATAAAAATGGAGTGAAAAATGGCTCTCCAGATTGGGTGAGTTCAGGTGTCCTCCTTCAGCTTGGACCAAAGGGACAGGGGTGGGATAGGGAAGGAAAGGCCTAGTGTGAGGTCCCTGCTGGAGGGAGGCAGAGGTCCAGCACAGAGGGCAGGACAGACAGGGCCTGGATGGGGTGACTCACAGGCTGGACAGAATGAGCGTGTGGCAGCCTTGCTTCCCTGAAGGGCAGTGGGACCCCTCCCCCTGGCTCACCAAGGAGCAGTTAACAGAGAAGCTCTCGGGCTTGATGGTTTGCAGCTGGTACAGCATCTTGCAGACGATGATCACACAGGTCCAGACGGTGCAGATGCTGGAAGCCACACGGCGGAGCTTGGCGTAAGGCAGAGCGAAAGCCCAAGAAATCAAAAACACATAGTTGAACAGAGACACCTGCAGGCATGGAATCAGAAATGGAGACAGGAACACACAACATGACATGACATCCACAAGCACAATGACCCGACCTCTGACCTGCAAGGGGGGTTGAGGTCTGAGCACGTGCAAGGCATTGTCTCTGTGTTGGGCACCAGGGGAGTGAGCCCGGGGCCCAAGGACACTGTGTCTTCTGTAGAAGACAGACACGGAACAAGGTGATGCCAGTGTAGGGCAATGATGGCTGAGCTGAAGATGTGAACAGGCTCCTGCCTGAGGCCCAGGAGGCATCCTGGCTCCAGGGTGAAGATGCAGGAATCGCTGAGCCAGGCTGGGAAGCTGAGGAGGAGTGCAGAAGCATGGTGGGGCAGGTAACCACAGACAACTGGGAGCTCGGAGTCAGCAGTGTGAGATGCAGGGATCGTGGGGAGGATGAGGAGCTGCCATGAGCCAAGGGTTGGGGATCCTTTCAGAACTGTGTAATGGCACGTGGCCCATCCTGCAGGAAACAGCCACACCACTCCCTGGAGGGCATCACTCTGGGGAATCTGAAGCTCATCCAGCATCTTACTTAGAGAAATGTAAGTGAGGGATGGAGGGCGCATGATGGGCATTAGACAAGAGGCCAGAGACCAGCTCTCCTGCTGCTGTGGTCACCCAGGAGGAAAGGGGCCATGGATTCATGATGGGAAACAGAGTTAACTGGGTTTGATGGTTGGTGTCATGGTGGTGGTGGGCTGGGGGGCTTCAGGGAAGGGAGTGTGAAAGAAGACTCCTGGGTTCTACACGGGAGCCCACATGACGACAGGAAGTGCTAAAAGGGGGTCAGTGTTGGGGAGGACATGAGTTCCACGTGAGCACGCGGACCTTGGGACGCCAGTGAGTTTACCCCTCAGAGCATCGTCCCCACTTTTAGCAACTCTCCGTGAACAGAATAGGAGCATCACCATCTTATTCAGCCATGGGCCACATGCACCTATGCTAGATGTGATTCAAATAACATGCTGGGATGTTTCATGTCATTAGGTGAAAACGGAAGCATGCATACCACTGGTAAAGCGAACGTGCACAAAGTGCTGAGCTCTATGATCTTGGGAGGGCAGTCTACCTAGTCAGCTGACAAAACCATAAAGTGGCGCGCGAAGACTGCATCATGGTGTTGACGATTCTGCATGCTGTCCCCAGCTATTCTTGTACTTAACTATTTCCACTGTCCAAGGCCAGGGGCCTCTCTGTGCACTCAGAGTAAAAATACTGGACTAGGAAGGGCTGCCTTACAGAATTGATTGAGGATGAAAGAAATTGTCCTGTGGAAGTGCTCTGTAAACCATGAAGTGCTCATAACATACTAAATACGACATCTTATCAAAGTATTTTGATTAGCTAACTGACCCCCCCTCCCTTAGTGGTCAGCAAGGGCCCTGTCAATTTGGATGTTAAAAAGCAAATCCTATTAGAGATATCTATTAAAGATAGACACAGGGCCCCCCAGGCACAGGAGAGTGTGGCTCACACAACACTGGGAAATGAAGTCTCTTTGCTATTTCTTTGAATATGTACTGGAGGCATTGAGGATAAAACAGGACAAACGATTTACACAGAACTTTTGATATTCTGATGATGGGTAAAGAGAAGAAGGGATCTTAACAAACCCTACCCAGGTTCAAGGTTACACTTCCCATGGAGCTTCCTGCCCTGGAGAAGCACAGGAAGCAGTGGGAAGTCCATATGGAGCTGGGGCAGTGCAGCTTGCTGAGGCCGTGCCAGGCTGGCCGGGCGATACAGGAGCCCAGGCAGAGGCAGCTAACCCAGGTGGGGAGACGGCCCCGGAGGAGTCGGGCCCCCACTGGGAAGCGTAAGCAGGTGTGGGCAGAGGGGTCCCAGGTACAGGGCCCTCCAGGCGCAGGAGAGTGTGGCTGGCACAACCCGGAAGAACCAAGTGGCTCTCTGCCAGGGAAGTGAGACCTGAAGCCTTCCAGCAGGTGCCCTGGGGCACCCGGAAGGGCAATGTTGAAGTGGCCCAGGCCCGAGGGCAGGGGACATGACCAGGTGGTGGTAAAGGATGGGAGTGAGCCAGGCCAAGGTCTGGTACAGAGCACTGCCAGGGTGCTAACCACACTCTGGGAAGACCATCTGGCTGCAGGATGGGAGGCCCACGGGATGCAGAAAAGGGAGGGGGAAGCAGAAATCGTCTGGAGTCACTGAAGAAGGAATGAGGTGCAGGGTGAGCTCGGTTTCAGGGACATTCATGGAAGGGGCTTTGGGGGCACAAAAAAGCGAGCCGCATCCAGCTGCCCTGTGGGCATGAGAGTCTGGAGTCCAGGGAGAGCGCTGAGCTGAGACAGGGACTGGAGGGGCGTGGTCCGCAGCTGGCAGCTGGCCCAGGAGCACACAGGAAGTTCTGGGTCAGACCCCGCAGCTCAGATCAAGTCTCACCCTTAGTGACCTGCACATGTCCACCCGTGTTGTGGTCATCGGCTTTCCCCGCGGTTTAGCTTTCCAAGGATTATAAGTGGAGGTCCCTGACTTAATTTTTAGAGGAATTCAATTTGAATTCTAACCAACTCAAAAATACTCCAGGGAAATTAGAAGTATGCAAAGAGTATTTGTTGAATAAATGCAAGGAGAGCCAGTTTGTCCACCGTCAATAGGAAATGACTGTCGGTGGAACAGTGACTCTTCTTTACGGACACCAAACGGAGGGCAGGAGAAGCATGCAGTTGGAAAGTGCAACTCGTCTCCAAAAATTCAACCACCAACAAGGTGCGCTCTATGAAGGATTTTACTTCAGAACCAATAACATGAGCCAAAATGTTATCATTTTCCTCAGAGAGAACTGAGGGAAGCAGAGTCCCACATGCAGAAGAGCAGCCCACTCTCACACTCGGCAACAAAAAAAACAGGCAAAAACAAGCAGCCCCGGGACTGAGGCCAGTCAACTGGAAACTAAGCCCGGGCCCTTCTCTCTGTGGCTTCCCCCTCCTCAGGGCCACTGAGTGGGGTGTTCTGCATGTCAAAGGCATCCTTTCAGAGCCAGATCCCTAATGTAGTGGACACCAGTTAAAAATATGGCGGACAGCTGGACAAGGACTGTGAGACCCCTGTGACTGTTTGATGTGACGCTCCAGCAACGTTCACTCACCTCTTTCACAGAAACCCAGATGATGTAGGAGGACACGATCTTGATGATGTGCAGCTCCAGGATCCACCACGTGAACACCTGCAGCTTGTGAAAGTGCTCCAGGGACTTCAAGAAGAGCACCGTGAGGCGGTCGATCACCAGGTGCCACTTGTTCCGCAGGTCTGCAGGACAGAGCAAGGCGGCCTTTGTTATTAATCAGGGGTATCTGTGACCTCCAGATGAGGACAAGGAGCTGTGAAGTCATCACAGGGGATGAGTTCTAAGAACTGCCAAGTGTGGAGCAAGGGTGGTCCACGAGCCCCCAGGCATGTTGACCACACAGATGTCCTAACCTAGGATTCTGGGGATGATGCTGCCTTATCCACCTTCTAACTAAGTGGGTGTAGAGAAGAATTTTGACCTTATTTACTCTCTCTGTGTCTCTCTTGGGTACTGGGGATTGAACCCAGCCCCAACCACAGAGCCACATCCCCAGCCCTTTTTATATTTTCTTTAGACACAGGGTCTCGATTAGTTGCACAGGGCCTCACTAAGTTGCTGAGGCTGTCCTTGAACTCATGACCCTCCTGCCTTAGCCTCCCGAGTCGCTGAGATTACAAGCATTCACCACCGTGCCTGGCAGCCTTATTTACTCTTAAGGTTAAGATGTAAGCTGAGGATTTGAGGTGACCTGAGCTACCTGTAAGTTACAGTTTTGCTTTGTCAAAATGGTGCTCCCATAAGCAACTTATAAATGAGCAGATAAAACCATCCATTCTCCCTGGAAGAACAGGTCAGAGGTCTGCACCAGAAGGAACAGCAAACCCAGGGTCAGGTCCAGCCACTCCACAGTTTGGCGGAAATCCTGTGCTGTGATCAGCCAAATCGGTCATTGCGTTCTTGCCAGCTGTGCACAACCCAGGGGTCCCGCTGCTGTCTAGAGGACTGTACTGAAAGCCACCACAGGACTGTCTTGTATTGTCACATTTATGTCACACATTACATTGTCATGTTTGTACCAAGGCTACTGTCTAGGCAGAGGATGGGCCCTCACGTGGCACGGGGAGTTGGGATGGTGTCTGTCCTGGGACAGTTAAGTGAGGTTTCATCCCTGTGGAACATGCTTAATGTACAGGGTAACTCAGATGGTGGTCAGTAGGAAGGTCTGAGTAGTAAGTGGACATGATCTGGAGGAGTGGACAGCATGAGGGCGTGGAGGCACAAAGCAAGTTCGACTTTTGTTGAGATCCATCAGTAAAGCTCAATCCCAGCTTGGAGCTTGGGTCCTTAGGCCTGCTCTGGAGGAGCTGGGATTTCCCTCTGCACTAAGGGTGTGTGTGGCTCAGGTCATGGCTCAAGAAAGGACTGAGCGTCTCTGGTCCTCACTGTGGGTCTCCTGTGCTGAGTGGGGAAGGGGACCAGCTTTTGGGGGGCACTTACTTTTGAGAGGGATCTTCTTTCTCATGCTGATTATTTATTTATGATGGTACCAGGGATTGAGCCCAGGGTGCTGCACTTCTGGGCTACATTCCCAGCTCTTCATATTTTTTATTTAGAGCTAGTCTTGCCAAGTTGCTGAGGCTGGCCTTGAACTTGCATCCTCCTGCCTCAGTCTCCTGACTTGCTGATATTACAGGTGTGCGCCACAATGCCTGTCCCTTTTTGTAAAGCAGAGTTGACCAGCAAGGACAAAAGCAATATTCTACTGTCCCAGCACAGCATACCACCCTCAAAGCTCGGTGCTCTGGGGTCCCCCGTGCTCTCTGGGCACTGCTGCATAGGCCGAGCTCTCAGCCTTGTATGTTTCTGTGGGAAAACATTTTCTGAGCCCACGGCCATTCGATTCTCACCATCCCCTGTTAAAACAGCGTTTTCAAGTCTAGGACAAAAAGCAGGGAAAGAGGGAGGACTCCAGAGTAATGCAGGTGGCGGATGCACCTCTGGGGGTTGGCTTGTGAGTGGGTGTTTCTCACCTTCTCTGTCCCTCACGTCTTGAGCATGACAGCAGAACTAGAAATACATTCTTAATGGGAATCCTTGGAATGATTTCCCTGGGGACGCGTCTGCAAAGGCGATGTCCAGGACTCCGGAGGCCCTGCGCAGGGAGCTGTTCTGCCTGAGCCGTAGCAGACACACCCCTCCTGCCCTCAACAGAAGCTCTGCTTGTGGCTCAGGTGTCCACAGCTGGCCCTTAGCATTCTTCAATTCAGTGAGATTAAAAAGAAATTACTGGAGCAGGATATTACCACTACGGCAACCCCCAAAGTGAAATCTTCAACTTTCAATCCCCTGAGTGGGTCACACTGAGCTGTGGGGTCAGTGCTCGTCCCCTGGTCCAAGCAGCTGCTGGCAGCGGTTACCTGACATTTCTTCCTCCTCCTCCGACTCCTCCTCTTCGTCTTCTCCCTCCTCGCTGCCCTTCCCAAGCTCGCCCTTCTCAGCCTTTCCAGGGCTGCCCTCTGTCTTCTCGTCCCCGAGCTCGGCCAGTTTCTTCCCCTCGGGCCTCTCCAGGCTGGCGGTCAGGTGCATCATGGCAAGGTCTGGGAGGCTTCCCTCGGGGTGGGCCAATCTGTGGGCAGAGAGCAGCTGCATCAGGAGAGGAAGGTGTGCAGGGCCGGTGTGAGTGAGGGGCAAGTCAAAGAGAGGCCCACGGGAGTCGGTGCATGAGCAGAGGCCTGGCAATGTGGTGCCTGTATCTTGCCACTGGTTGGCCTAGGTTAGCCTTTCTTATTCAGTTCTGGTGGTTGGTCAGGAATGAGAGCTATCGACACCTAAACTTGACATTGTTCCCAGAGGAGCAAATGGTCAGAGTTTAGGACGAAGAGGCATGAAATGTGTCGTGGGAGCGAGCATTTCATGGCCTCACAGGGGGACTTACTCATTTTGGTGGATTGGTAATTTTTTCTTGATGCTGCTCAAAGTAATTGAAATAGAAAGGAAAAAAAGGAGATGAGAACAGAGGAGTTATAAGGAAGTCAGAGATCACACGTCATGCCACATTTCACCCGCATTGCATTCCTGAGCGCTGGGCAGCTGCGGCCTGAGGCCAGGTGCATTCAGGCTGCGTGGGCAGCGAGCTCTCGCTAGGGACCTGGGCTTGGCAACTGACCAGAGAGTGGTCGGGTCTGTAAAGGAGGGTCCATGTAGACCACTAAGGCAGAGTGTACCCTGCTCTCTGAGCAACTCAACCAACCATCTTGCAGGAACCACGTCAGTGACAGGTTAGGTTAGTTTTCTCCACCTCTTACAGGACGTGTGCTCAGTGCACCTTGGCAGGGATGAGCCCACTCCACCAGCGTCTGAAGCCACGTGCTTCAAATGCTTTCAGGAGTTCCGGGGTCTGCATTGCTCAGCCTGAGGGTTGCAGACATAAGCTGTGCATGGGCATTGGGCAGGGGGAGGAAGGCAGGGAGCTTCCAGCCACCTGGGCACTGTGGCTGATTCCACAGTGGACACACCTGCCTTGTGTTCTGTGTTCTCGACACAGAGTCTCTCTGTTGCCCAGGATGTTCCTGAACTCCTGGGTTCCAGTGTGCCTCCTGCCTCAGCTTGCTGAGTAGCTGGACTACAGGTCTGTGCCATGGTGCCTGACCTCCTGCTCTTTTTTAAAAAGCATAATGTGTATTCATATTCAAATGGATGCCTTAAAGAGCCCACCCCCTTGTGGACAATACAGTCCATCCTAGGGAAAAGCCTAGTGGAGGTCATAATGATCTTCACTTGCAATAATTAATGCATGAATTTCAGCCTGATCATAACAGACAATTTAAAAAGCTTTACCCACATAATTGTACACTCTGAAAAAAATTATTTAGCCTTTCTGAAATTCAGTAAATTTTCTATAAAAATGAGTTGATTCAGCTGGGTAAAGTCTTAAGCTGTTTTCAAGCCACAGTTTCATATTTGAAAGCATGTCTGTCATTTTGGGGAGCCACTTGTAATGAGTCGGCATTGTTCTTAGTCTTTCAAGACAGTCATCACTCAAAAGCATCCCTTTCCCAGTGGGGTCAAGTGGTTCATGACGATATGCCAGAAGCAAGCCGATCACCTATGCCCAAGGAACCTGGGGCAGGGCTCCACTCTGGGAGCAGGAACTCTGCCCACAAGCCGCTCCCAGATCTTCTTAAGTCACTAACTGACCCCTTCGACTTCTGGAAAGTCCACTACTCTTGGAAATGCAACTCCATTCCTTTGACACCAGTGTAGCACTTGGAACCTCTGGGTGCACACTGCTGCCCCAGCTTGACAGTTCTGTGTTTTGAACGTGCTTGGGTGTGGAAGCAGTGGCCCCAAGGAGGGAGCCCATGTCCCCACGTACTTGCTGTCTTCTGCATTGGGAAGACACCTCTTACTATAACAAGGAACTTGATGGTGGTTAGTGGGGACATGTGCCCCCGCTGAGTGTGTCAGATGCCTGCCACCATTGTAAGCTGATGAGCAGATGCCTTTCTAACCCTGGAGTGAGACCCCAGCCACTAGGCCGTCCTACAGCTGCTTCTATGGCTACATAGCCAACATCCTCAATCAGCAACGTGCCCAGACTGCCACACCACAGGCAGTCAACACTGAGTACGGACGGCTGAGCGACGGAGTCGAGGGAGACACTGGGGTGAGCCTATCGGGAGCAGCCCTTGGAGACACCATCATCTGCGAGACCTGCTTCTGGAAACTGGTGGTAGTTTGCATAAGGTCTGGGACTGGACAGAACTGGGGACAGAGGAGACCTGGGGCCAACCTGACACCGAGCCCCACTCCCCAGGCAGCCTAGCCTCTGGGTTTACAATGGCTGGCAGAACAGAGCAGAGGGGACCCATGTGCCAGCTACCATTTGGAGCCATCTGAGCAATCAGATGACTTACGAGTCAGGTGACACTGCAAAATTACTTAGCCTGTCTCTCAAGTCTCAGTCTTCAGGTCCGTAAAGTGGAAATCCTGTGTCTGCTTCACAGAATTTTTGGAAAATTAAAGCAGTTTCCATAAGTGCTGAACACACTGCTTACATATACAGGAAGGATTTTAAAGCAAGGAACCATCTTCTACAGGCAGATTTCATATATTAGGTTTCACAACCATGTCATAAGTCTGTCCTGATGAAAAGGCAGAATTCAAAGTGCGCCTGGCCGAGCCTCATCAACCAGGACAGGGAAGATGCACCCGTGGATGTCAGCTCTGTCCTCGGCACGTTCCTTCACAGAACTCGGGTATGCCAAAAAGGCCATTCAGAAGAAAACCAGCTAGGATTTCTCCCTGGGAACCTGTCTTCAAGCACGCCCTGGCCTTGTGCACTCTGCTCTGTGTACAACTTCGCTGTGCGTGCAGTGAGGGCTGCGGAGCCGAGGGCTGGGCTGCAGACACCCACCTCAGAGGCTCAGTCAGCTGCAGTTTGCTGGAGCCAAAGGTCATCCTCATGCTTCTGAAAAGACTGGGTGCCACAAATCAGTCGTTTTGCTCCTCTAGCAAATAAAAAAAGAAGATCTCGACTTTTTCAAAAACTATAGTAAAAGGCACACTCTCATGAAGACACATTCCCTGGAACTCCATGCCACAGAACTTATAACACTTGCGATTTTTTTTACTGATCATCTTGTGCAAATTATTTGATGATCAGATGAAGGATTTTTCCTTTGGGACTCCAAAGAGACACAGTGAAAGCTCATGGGATTCTCAGAGAAGCTCCCTTTTCTACCTCCTTAAATCAAATGCTTTGTGTTTCTTCCACACAAAGAGTTCATCTATCTCCTTAGAGTTTCTTTATTTTTACAGATACTTTGTTTCCTTGCTTTATTATGATTCAGGTTGTGAGCTCTCAATACTTGTGGTTCTCTGTTTTTGTGTCCGGAAAGCCAAGGGACCTGTCAGTCTGTCCATGCATGCGTTCCTGTCCATCCTCAGGGCGTGCTTCCTTATCTGCGCCTACATCATTTCATCCTAAGTGTGTGCTGGGGACTCTCTCCGGGAAGCTAGAGATTAAGTCCTGCACCCTGAGCTCCTCTGCAAAGCAGACTCCTTGTGCTTGGTACACAGTGGGACTCTTTCAATGCTGGGCAAGACATTTATACCCTGGAGACATGTTCTCTTTGAAACAGAAGAAATAAATTGTGTAACACAGAGTGATGAAGACATTTAATTATTGACTTGACTTGGAAACAACTACATATTAAGCCAGTTTCCACTAAGAAAAATGGAAATTCTGTCATCTTAAAATCTCCATATTTAAACTTTCATTCATTTTTTCAATAATTCTACTTGGGAACATGTGAAATGCAAATTGTAATTACCCACTTCATTAGATGATTAGAGAAAAGGAGATATCTTGTGTTAGGTGCAGGACAAGCTGAATAAGTTGTCTGCAGGGCATGCTAAACAAATTTAGCTGTCGGATGACCTGGCCACTCAAACCCTCTGTCTGGTTCTTTATCACCTGTTTGCTTCAAGCCCAAATGCCCAAGCTCCCACTCAAGGCTGAACACTCAACCCCCTGCTCAAGGCTGAACACTTAACCCCCTTGCACCAAAAGGGCAGTTTGCACACCCAGAGACCCCATTAGAATTTGGTATAAAAACTCCTTCCTGCGGGGCCCCTCTCTCTTGCTCTCTCTCTTTCTCTCTTGCTCTCTCCCTCTCCATCTTTCCTCTTCTCTTCTCTTTCCTCTCTCTCTCTCTTTTCTTTCTCTTTCTCTCTTTTCTCCTCTGTTGCACTGCTGCAATAAAGCTCTCTTGGTTGCTCTGAGTGTTGTGGTCACTTTCCTTTCATTGTGCCGAAACCCAGGAGAGGGTTAAAACCCACTTTTGGGTCCCTCTTCCTTCGGAAGTGCCACTCACTGGACGGCCTGAACCCATTTTCTCGACCGCCAGAACTCCATCCACCACCGGCCTTCAATTGGTGAATTTCCCCTTCCTGGAGTCCTAAACCCAATGGTGGTGTCAGGAGGATTTGACCGTTGATTGTCCGGCAAACCTCTTTGCCCACCTGCGGGGAGGAAAGCACCCCACCACAGCCTTTAAGGCCACGGTGGCCCTCAGGGACCCTTCCTTGGGCAGATTCGACTCTCAGGTTCAAAATTATTCCCCTTCCCCTTCCCAGCTGATAGTTTACCAGCATAGGTTTTGTATGTCTCCCTCAAGGGACTATGTAACCTCCAGGGACACATAACAGAGAACTACACATCACACCCCACCCAGACCTTCAGGGTCTCGGTGGCTCTCATAAAGTCCTAGTCCTCTCACCTTCAAGACTTGGCCGCTAGAAAGATGCTTACCCTCCCCTTCCTCTCTCTTCCCCTGTCTCTCTCTTTCCCCTCTTTATGGCCCTGGGAGTCTCCGGCCTCTCCAGGAGGGGTCCTGAAAAGCCTTGGCCAAGGTCTCCCACGGCTCCGGCTCCATCCAGGACGAGAGCTTCGACTGTCAGGATTCGGTGACGACCAAACCCTGCAGCTCGAACTTGCCACTTAGGCACTCCTGATTTTTGGCTCTAGCGGGGACAACCCTTTTGCCAATAAATCAGTTTCCTCCTTCTCTCTTATACTATCTTTGCGTCTCCTTCCTTCTCCTCTATACTATGTTTGCGTCCTCTTCCCTCCTCCTTATACTACGTTTGCGGCATGGGTAATGTGTCCTCTCTGCTGGTCGACTCTCCCCTACAATGCCTCTTGGATAACCTCAAAACCCTCTCCTTGACACCAGACATCAAACCCAAAAAAATTGATCAAATATAGCACCCAGGCCTGGCCCACTTATCCCTTAGACAACCAAAGCAGATGGCCCCCTTTTGGGTCCCTGGATCCCTCCATTCTAAGGGATCTCTACAATTACAGTGAGTGTTCAAAAAATGGGTAAAGATGGCTTATGTCCAGGCTTTCTTCTTGCTCGGTTCCAATCCTGCTCTCTGCACCTCTTGCAAACCTCTACAAAT